CTGTTCTCGTGCCGTGTCCGGGGGCTCTACAGGCCCGGCGATCTGAAGACGAGCGCGTGTTTGTGGTTTCTTTGCCGGAAGGCCTCGGCCGCGGTCTCGGTTTCTGCGTGTTGGCTTCTTCTGCCGCATCCCGAGCGGCTCTCGACTGAACCAGGGCCGAGCCACCCTGGCAAAAGGTGGGTCCGGGGTGGGCCAGTAGGCTGGGTCACCAGCGGGGGCGCCAAGATGATCGTATTTCGCGAGTCGCGGTCTGGACCAGAGCGGCTGCCCTTCTCCAAGGGGGGCGTCGCGAGGGCGCGATGGTGCGAAGATAGTCGCGCATCGCGGGGCGCGATGCGCGAAGCTAGGTGACCTAGGCTAGAGGACCGTCAGGCCACGCCAACCTTTTTGGCCCACCCCCCCGCCCCGCGCAAACCTGCGCTGTATGCATTGCTGCCGAACCCTCGAGGATCTTCGCCGACGTGGACTCCTCGCGCAAGGCTGGGGGGGGGGGGGAGTATGGAAGTCTCAGTCAGGGAGGATGAGGAGGAGGAGGAGGAGGAGGAGGAGGAGGAGGAGGACAAGGAGGAGGAGGACGACGAGGACAAGGAGGAGGAGGACGACGACGAGGAGGACGACGAGGACGAGGAGGAGGTGCAGGGGCTGCGGTGGTCGCGCCGCCTGCGGTTCGAGCGACGGCGGTCGCCAACCAGTCCAGTCGTGGCGCGGGCGGTCGCTTCGAGCGAGGCGGCTTGCACGGGCTGCGCACGAGCAAGCGGGCGCCACGGAGGCGGGCGGGGAGGAGGGCGGCCGCGGAGGGGGGCTGGAGTGCAGTCCACCCGCAGAGTAAGGATGGGCAACCTTCCCAAGGGTACCCTTGCATCCTTGCCTCCTCGGTGCATCCTCGGCTACTTTCGTTGGCCGCGCTCCGCTCGAAGAGCTTCGGAATGGGCGTCCAAGGCCCTTGCATCTTCATCGCGCATGCTTGCGATACGGGCCGACTGTAGGGCAAGGCGCTCAGATCATGAGCGGTGGTCAAGCATGTGCGGCCGGACCGAGGTAGAAGATCGAGGTCGGTTCGGGGAGGGTACCCTAATGTCCGTGTGAGTTGGACGTTCTTGTGCATCCTGGGGGAGGGTACCCTCGGATGTTCTTCAGTTTGGCCGGCGGAGGGCCCCATGTTTTTAGAGGATGTTCTTCTGTCTTAGGTCCAGCAGCACCCGCCGTGGTTCCGCCAGTCGATTGACACCTCGGGCAAGTGTGCCGCGAGGTCGGCTCTGGCTGTGAGGCTCGGGAGGCCGGCTGGCGGGGAGGGTGGCGGCTGGGGAGTAGGCGGTGGCGCACGCAGTAGCAACAGTTGTGTTGATGATTTTCTGGTGAGGGCGGTCAAGATATATATATATATATATATACTCATAGAGGAACGAAGAATGACAGAAAAGAAAACTCGGAGGTCCGCGCGGATTTCTCGGATCGGCGCTGGACCTCCCTCTCTGACGCGCGGAGCGCGCCAGGAGCGGCGCCGGAGGCGCCGCCAGGGGGGTCAAGCGCGGATCCGAGAAATCCGCGCGGACCTCCGAGTTGTTATGTCTGTTATTCTTCGCTCCCCTCACTCAAGCACGTACGAAAGCAACTGCTGTTGTGCGCGCGTGCACTTCCTCATCATGATTTGCACGTCGTCGTCATCATCGCAAGCGTTACCGTTGCCATGGTCATTTTCGTCATGGCCATCACTGACGTTGGCGTCATCAGCATTACCGTCGTCATCGTTATCATTGTTGTCGTCACCCTCGTCATTTTTTGCCACCACCATTTCCAACATCATCATCAGCATCATCACAATAATGATAATCATCATGATGATGATGATGATCATCATCATCATCATCATCATCATCATCATCATGATGCACCCACGTACCACGACGTTTCCCTCCACGAGCAGTTCATTATGATCAAGTTTGGATGGCAGGGCCCCCGAGGAGCGATGGTCAACAAGTCGTGTGGAGTGGAGATCTGGCTAAATCGGAGACGATTTCGACGGGCACAGCTGGTGCACTTCTGGGCAGTCCCCCACGGGTTGCAAGGACGACTGGGTGCGGTACGAGTGAGATCAAGCCAACACGACTTCACCTTTGTGGTCAGCTATTTCCCCCCGAGGTGTACAGATGCCAAGAGTATTCCGAAGTATGAGGCGACGGTCAGGAAGCTGGTCGAACAGTTACAACAGATTACTGCGGGGACCCCCAATCGATCTACGATGGTTGCGGCGACGGATCTAAATGATGGCTTGGGTATTCGGAGTGTCGACGGCATACAGCAGGCAGTGGACAGTGAGTGTTTGGGACCTTACGGACGCAGCATAGAGCACCAGGCGGGCACCCACTACCGCGACTGGATGGAGCAACGCAACCTGGCAGCGATTACGAGCTGGTATCCCTGTGGCCCGACATACCACGGTCACCGCAGCTGCAGCTATATAGATCACATGGTGATCTCCGCTCCTTGGATGTGCCGTGTGAAGCGCTGTGCTGTCGCGTACTCCCTCACAAGACGGGTACGCGCGATCCCTAGTGTGGCGGTGCTGGATCACATGATTATTGTTGCGGAGCTGGACTATGAGCTTACGTACAGCGCGCCTGCCAACCACGGCGCACACTGGGACTACCTCTCATTGGGACGTGCGATGAATGACGAGGAGGGGGCACTCCAGTTCCGAGAGGAGGTGGAAGGTGGCCCTTGCGCAGCAAGTACACGAAGACGGGTACCTGGAGGTGGACGCCTGGATGCGCGCTCACACGCTCGAGACAGCCTGGGAGAAAGTGGTGACGACGATACGCACGGCAGCCCAAGCACGGTACAGTACTACACGACAACATCGGCCGCAGTGGTACGTAGAGATGGCGAGGGAAAGGGAGGCGGCGCTGAGGGCTCGCACCAGAGCACGTGACAAGCTCGACGGCGACCTGGACAGCATCCGACGACTGCGACAGTGTACACGACGGTGCAAGCAAGCAAGGATGACCACCAAGAGTGAGCTGAATCGCGAACTGGAGGAGGCACTACGAGGCAACCGAGAAGATCTGGCCTGTAGGATCAGTTTTCAGATGGCGGGCAATGGACCGGGACCACGGAAGCGGAATCACTACATACTACCTGATGCCAGGCCCGACGTACAAACGTGGACGGAGGACTTGGCACTGAGTGGACGGGAGGGTGGGATGGAGGCCATTGCTACTACGGCGGAGGAGTTTATTGGTGCAGCGTCCGCCCACGACTACCCATTCTACCCCGAAACGAAGCATTGGGAGCAGGCCAACCGTGATCTGGATGGAGTAATTGCGATGTTATACCACGGCCGACGCCGACGAGCAGCACCACCGTGGTCACTACCGATGGAGGTCTGGAGCGCTCTTCTCACCTGCCGCGCGCCCCGACGCACCACCAATGACCAACCAGCTGTGGCGGGTGCTTACCTACAGGAGTGTCTTCTGGCACAACTAGCAGGAGTACGACAACACAATCGACTCAACGCCTGGTGGAACCTCTCGCAGACGTATCAGGTAAGCAAGCTGAATCACAAACCACGGACGAAGGGGGACACGTCTACTACACGGGCTCTGTAGTTTTGGCAAGGCATGGGTGGGGGCGAGACAGCCTAGGCCTGGACTGACTCCACCACCAGAGGACCATGGCTATGTGAGAGGGCGGTCACGAGTGGGTGCGTTGACCGTGGGCAATGTGTCGCAATGGCGACTCGGTGCAGCAGGCCTGAGCCACATCACGACCAAGCACGACATGACGAATGCATTCGCCAGCGTCACCCACCACCACCTCGACGACACGGTCCAGCAGCTGTACCAGCCCGAGGATGTGGATATTATGGTAACACGACATCGGAACACAGCGTGCGTGGTCGATGTTTGCGATGGCACGGGTGCATTTCAGAATCGAGTGGGTTGTTTCATGGGGGATGCAGACGCGGCCACGAAGTTTCGATTGGCCTCGAGTGGATGAGAGATCTCGTTCCTACGACGTTGGTCCACGAGTTGGTAGCAGGGTGTGCAGTCATTCAGGAAGTGTGCGATCTGGGAGTGAGGAAGTATGCTGATGACCTCACATGTACTCATATTGTCCCAGATGCGCGCAGTGCAGCTCGTCGAGTGGAAGTTTCAGATCAGTATCTTGATGCAGCACTGGGACGGGTTGGCCTCGCCCAGAGCCGTGAGAAAAAAAAAAGCGGTCAGCCCGTGTTTCGTGGGCCGATGGGCTCAGAGGTCTGCAAGGGCCCTGCGCTACCACAAGGTCGCCATCTCGGGGGAGGTCCAGGCGACTTCGGTGTTCTTGGGAGCTCACGCGCAGTCTTCGGGGAGGAACGACGAGGAGATCCGAGCTAGATGCGCGGCGATCCGAGTGGGCTGGCGAGGAATGGGGAAGTTCTGGAAGACCTGTCAGAATTTTAATCTGAGGCGTCTGGTGTTTCGGGCTCGTCTTATAGGAGCGGCGCTGGCGGGTCTTGAAGCTCGGTTTTGACAGAGGAGCAGGTCAAGCGTCTTGATTCGGTGGCCACGCGCTATGCTGCTGCGCTGTGCAATGGGGTAGCGGTCTATCGCAGGCTGAACGAGGGTGAGGTGGAGGAGGGAGGCGAAGCTGCGGAGGCCAGGTGGAAGGTGACGACGGTGTGTGCGGAAGCCGTGTGGAAGCGCATCGCGATGGTACCCCCTAGCGTGGAACTTGGTATCCGACGGCTCCGCCACTTTCAAGCTCTCGTCCGCAATCCCCAACGGCATGTTCAGGAGCTCGCTGCAGTTTTCGGGAAAGTCACTTTCGAGAACCCAGAGATCCAGACTTTTGCGCGGGCGCCACCGTGTGCCCCGCCCATCGCCCCAAAGGATCGCGCGAACCCCTGGGCCCCGCAGTACAAGAACGACCTGTTTCTTCTTGGGAAGCTTCGAGGGGGCCTGGGTTTCCTGGAGACGGCGGGGGACGATCACATGAAGGTTTTCCTGGGCGCAGAACTGAAACGGCGGTTTCTCAAGTTCGATGTAGCGAAGCTCCGCAAGGTCTGGCTTGAGCGCCCCACAATTACTCCCACGAGGCCGCACGAGGATCAGGAGCGCTTCGAGGGCGGTTTTCTGTGTTCGCTGATCGACGGAGAGGGTCTGGAGTGCAACCGTAGGTTTCGCACAATGGCGGCGCTTCGTGCGCATCAGACACACGCAGGCGGAGGGGGGCACGGAAAACTGAACTTCTTCACGAGATTGACAGTGACGAACCAGTGTCCTTCGTGTTTGTCATCGTTCGCTTGTCGCCGCACTGCTATCAACCACATCGCTGCTGCCTATAGACATGGACGATGCATTGCTGACTTCTCGGTGTCCAATCATGCTGTCATCGCTCCGCTGCTGTTTGAGTGCCCCGAGACAGAATGCGGCCAAGACTTCGGTGATCTTCAAGCCCTGCAGCACCACATATGCACTACTCATCTTCCTCAACCTCGGCCGCGTGTCGTGGATGCAGGGGCTGCCCGAGATAGCCGAGGGCGACGCCGAAGGACGGCCGAGGAAGACGGCCAAGGGAGGGCGCAAGAGCGGCCCCCAGACCGCCAAGGCGGCCAATGCTGCAGGCAAGGGCGGCGGCAACGAGAAGGCGCCGAGGAAGGGCACGAAGCTGGTGGACCTCAGCGAGCTCGACGGAGACGAGATAGAGGTGTCGACCATGCAGAAGTTCTTTCCCGTGATGATGCGCTTGCTGCTGAACCTGGCGCACCGCCAGAGGCAGATCGAGTCGATCGAGCTGAAGACGTTCCTCATGTCGTCAGGGCGGCAGCCGGCGGTCAAGGCGCGGGGGCGAGTGCGAGCGTGGATTCGCGCCGCCGAGGAGATCCGCGCAGGCAACGACAAGGGGCAGGGCCAAGTGAAGATCAAGCAGATGGGTACGATCTCGGTGGCATGCTTCGCGGGAGTGTTCGAGGGGCTGCTGGCAGAGGGAAGCGCGGTGGGCCGCGCGAACCAGCAACAACTCAGCACTCTGAAGGAAGAGCTGGCGAAGCTGACCGTTCACGAGATGGGCGAAGTAGTGCCGATGGCGAAGCTCTCGGACTGCTACGAGGAGGGCAAGGTGAAGCTGGTGCTGTCGTTCGGGAGTCGAGTGAGCCTGACCCCCGTGCTGGAGGCCCTGGTCCAGGCAGGGGCAGACTACAAACAGGGGATGGCCCCGATGGGCCACTTAGAGAGGCTGATCCACACGGGCCTGCACGAGCTCGAAGGAGGCATGATGGACTAGGCCGTGCACAGATGCCAGGCGCAGGACCACTGCACGAGGGGCCCGAGGAGAAACGACGGCGCCAGGATGCCGTGGTGAGAAGGCTTTGTGAGGTTGCACGTGAGGCCCAGGTGACTCCTCCCTCCTCCTCGCAGATTCCTCCGACCCTCCACCCCCGTGTCCGACAGACTGCCAGTAGGACTCTGGAGACCCCCACCCCTTCCTCTCGGCCTGATGAGCCCCCTCTCACCTGCTTCACCTCCGCACCTCGGCTCCAGTTGGTACCGCCACGCCCAGTGGAGACCCCAAGACCCGTGCGGCCTCGGAGGCCCCCCACGGCCCCTGGAGCGCGTGCTGTTTCTGGAGGCGCGTCTACGGACCAGGGTAGAGCCCGACAGGGCTCTAGGTTTTCTGAGCGCTGGAGCCAGGCTGACCAGTCAGCCGTGCTTCGACTTCTCTCGGGGGCATCGCGGTAACTACTGAACGTAGTAGTGTGCCGCGAGATGCGTGGTCGCGCATCGCATACTTAAGCTCGGGTTTAGCCCGATCCTAGAGGCGTTCGGGCACGTGGGAGAGACGGGGCCGCCTCCGATGGGTTCTAATCTAATTTAATCTAATCTAATCTAATCTAATCTAATCTAATCTAATCTAATCTAATCTAATCTAATCATCATCATCATCCTCATCATCATCATCATCATCATCATCATCATCGTCATCGTCATCGTCATCGCCATCATCATCGTCATCGTCATCGTGGTCATCATTGTCATCATCATCATCGTCATCGTCATCATCATCGTCATCGTCATCGTGGTCATCATTGTCGTCGTCGCCGACGTCGTCGTCTATATCCTCATTCGCCCAGCCGAGTCATGGATCTACATGAGCAGGGTCCGCGCGTCATTGCGCCCGCTGTGCTTTGCAAACAAGTTCCGATGGGTAACCACGCTCGCGGCCTCTTGCGTGCTACCCGCAGGGTGCGGGCGGGTGGTATGATATTTGCCCGAGCATGGGAGGTGTCAGGCTCGGGTGCCCACAGGTAAGTTCCACCACACAGCTTGCAAACTCTAGCTTAAGCCACACTGTTTGCCCCACGACTCTTGCACAGCGCAGATCTTGCACCACATACGGCCCACCACATACCCTGCACCACACAGATGCAGCCACGTTCACTGCACCGCACACGCTGCACCACGGAGGCCGCACCGCGCCGACGGCCTAGACGGCACTTGGCAGTCTGCACATCCCGGGTGCACCGCGTCGCCTCTGCGGGGTCCGCGCCGGCAGACGCTCTGAGCCGCAAGGGGCCGCCCCTGTCACCACCCACCAAACCACCCCAACCCAACCCGAAGGCTCAGATTTACCCTCGATTTCCAGTGGGGGGGGGGTCGGGGAACATCGACAGAACACACGTGGAACCCTTACCTTACCCCCCCCGTTCGGGCCTTCGGGTTGGGTTGGGGTGGTCTGGTAGGTAATGTCACCCTGGTCCGCGCAGCTGCGGGGCGCTCGTTCTCTCTTTTGTCCGAGCCGAGTGCACGCGGCGCCGGGGCGAGGGCCGCACCGCGGCGAGCACCGGGGCTCCGCGAATGGCGAGGGGAGGTTCCGAGGGCGGAGCGGCGGGCCCGCCGGCACGCCTGGTGGCGCGGGGAGGACCCAGACCTCCTCGCGTCGTGAAAAAATCACGACGGGAGGTTTTTCACAATTTTCGGCCTCCGGGGGCCCTTACTGGGCCTCGGGAGCGTCAAAAAACGACTCAGGATGAAAAACCCGTCCCGGGGAAGGGGTCCAGACCTCTGGGGGTCGACGTTGTGAAAAAATCACGACGTCGGGGGTCTGGGGAGGAGGGGGGTCGGGCCGGGCGAAAGGGGGGGATTGGGAAAGGGGGGGTTCCGAAATTTGCTGCATGCAGCCGGTTTCGGCTTCGCCGAGGGGCCCATGCCTCGACACATAGCCGCCTCCGGCGCCGGGAGGCGCCGGGAGAAATCAGCTGCGTGAGCTGATTCTCAACCCCCCCCCTTTACTATCCCCCCTTTCGCCCGACCCGAGAGGGTGTCAAGCAGGGGCGGAGCGTCCTAGCTCGCCTGCAGGCCCAGCAGAGAATGCTCTAGGAAGCTTTTTTGGCGGCCTGCACGGAGAGTTCTTGGAGCGCTTCTGGCCGAGACCGTCTTGCTATCACTCATGGGGCTCATGTTCTCAGAGCGCTGTTTTTGTTATCAAAACGTGTCAGGAGGGAGGAAACACGCAGACACGATGAATCGTCGATTCCCCAGAAAATATGGGAAACTAGGGGAAGTGGAGGGGAAGACAGAAACCCCGAAAATATCGGAAAACATGGGGAATCCTTTTAGTTGTGTGTATGTGTATATTTCTTTGTGTATGTGTATATTTCTTTGTGTGCCCTTGGGCCCCTTCACACATGTCGTGGTGGGCCTTCAGGAGTGCCCGAACGGGCGGTACCTGCTCCGGTGCGAGCCGCCTGCCCCTCCGCCCGTGCAACCCCGGGCCCGCCGACGCGCCTGGCGGTGCGACGGGGAGGAGGGCCCAGGAGCGAGGGGGTTCGGGGGCGGCAGCGAGGGGCTTGGCATCGCTCGGACGTGTGCATAATTCCTTCGGCGAGGAGCATCGAGGAGCATCCTTGACCATTTGGCGAAAAAGCCACGCACGAAACCGAAAAAAACACAGGGAATGGACGTCCGAGCGATGGCGAGTAGGGGTGTGTGGGTATCAGGGCGTGGGCCATGATATCTTCCCCGGATTTCAGGGCGCCTCCTCTTATTTCCTTGCGTCCCTGGCCCCGCCCCTGGGCCGCGCACACGGTGCCGGCCGTGACTTGCGGTTCCCTCCTCTTGGACGCCCCCCTTTTGGTCGCCCCCGAGGGGTGGGTCTTTGACTTTTTGCAAGGGCGAGGGGTGGTGGATGGGGGGGAGCAAGGACGAGGGAGGGGGGGAGGGAGGAAGAGGGGAAGGGAGGGACAGGGGGAGGAGGTGGGATGAGTCGAGGGAGGAGGAGGGAGGGACGTTAGGAGTGAGGAGGAGGAGGAAGAAGACGGGGCCTCAGTGAAGTCTGATGCATAGTTAACCGGCCAGGGCCGCAGCAATGCGGCCACTTTGATCAGCCTGAACGGGATGTGGCCGCTTAGTTGTTGCCAGGCAAATTTTCAATTTCCAGCTCGTTGGATTTGGTTTGCCGATCCTGTCGCCAGGCGCCGCCTGTGCATTGTGCTGGCAGGCGCTCGTCAGGCTCTGAGGGCTCTGCAGGAGGAGGGGCGAGGGACGCGGGACGAGGAGGCACCCCTGGCCTTCCGACTCGGGGAGGGGACTCCGGGACGAGGCTCGGGGAGGAGGCTCTCGGGCTGTCCCCCGGGCTCTCCGCGGGGCGCGGCGCGCCCGAAGCACTCGAGGAGGAGGAGGAGGAGGAGGAGGAGGAGGAGGAGGAAGAGGAGGACCCCTGGCCTTCCGACGCGCAGGCGCGCGACGGCGCCCGGTCTGAGCACGCGTCCGCCATGCAGGAGTACGGCGTGTGCTGCGGGGAGGCCGAGACGGTGGCGCTCGACTGCCTGCAGGCCTGGCGTTCGTCACCACCTACCAAACCACCCCAACCCAACCCGAAGGCCCAAATTTATCCTCGATTTCCAGTGGGGGGGGGTCGGGGAACATCGAAAAAACACATGGGATCCGTACCCCCCCCAACCCGAAATTCGGGTCGAATTCGGGCCTTCGGGTTGGGTTGGGGTGGTCTGGTAGGTAGTCAGTTCGGGCTGCGAGGGCTGCAAACATGCAGGCAGGACGCTTAAGCTCGAGTCGGGCCTGTGCCTCTACAGGAGGAGCATTCATGCATACTACAATAATCGTCAGGGGGCGATGTTGTTGCTTAATTTGGGGTAAGTTTGAATATTTAATGGCTATATTTTTCATTTTTCGCCCCAAAGTCCGCCTGGAGGAGGACATGCCCGACCTAAGCGTAAGTATGGACCACTGCGGGCGGGCTCAGGAGCGGCCCTGGTTTTCGGCCGTTCCTTCTCAGATCAAGGTCGGGAACCCGTTCGTGGCCGAGGCTCGCCGTGGCCAGAGCAGCCCCTTTTGCTTCTTGTTTGGCGCTCCTTCTGCCAGCACGATGGCCGTAGGGCCTCCGTGGGTGTTCTGCGGGCCCTGCGAGTCCCAGGGCCCGAAGTTCAAGCGAGGGCTCCTGGGCTGAAGGCTGCCCCGGTTTTCAGGGATGGTCCTTCGCCGGGGAGTCCATCCTTGATGGTCCCGGGTTGGGACCATCAACAACGGATCCGGGGCCAGAGGCTACCCCCTGGAGCAGGGGGTGGAGACCTCTGGGGCCCTCGGGCTGATGCAGGTCGCCATCTTCGGAGGTCTGGGTGCGCTGCGTGCCCAGACATCCAAAGATGCGAGCTGCGTCCGACCCGAAGCCGGCGTGCAGCGTGCGAGCAGGTCGCAGTGTCGCGCACGGCCGCGGGGACGCGCCTCCCCGACAGGCCGCGGCAGGCAGACGGCCAGGAGAGACCCGCGCCCCTCTCGAGGGAGAGCTGGCCGAGCGGGAGCCCTCACGTGGAGGGCGGGCCCCCCGGGGACACACACGCAAGGTAGGCAGATGCACCGAGCCTGGCCAGTCCTCCTCCTCCTCCTCCTCCTCCTCCTTCTCCTCCTCCTTCTCCTCCTCCTCCTCCTCCTCCTCCTCCTCCTCCTCCTCCCCCTCCTCCTCCCCCTCCTCCCCCTCCTCCTCCTCCTCCTCCTCCTCCTCCTCCCCCTGCACGCCGCCGGGTCCGCCCCTCTAGAGTGGGGGCGCGCATCAAGAAACCATATGTTTTTCGTCAGGGTACCCTGGGTTTCTTCGCTCCGCACGCTGCGCGGTGACTTCCCGCAGCCGCTGAAGAAGCTGCTGCGTTCAGGGTGCTCCCGGTTCCCCCTCAGGCGCACCTCGCGCGCGGGTTCTCAGGGTTGGGTTTCTTGGATTCTTGCGAGGGTTTCTTACGGCCGCGCCCGCACTGTACAAGGTAGGCGGCATGCACCGATCCTGGCCAGTCCCATCCCGCGCTCAAGATCGGTGCATGTGCCTCCCTGGCGCTGCTGCAGGGGACAGTAGGGTTCGGAACCAAGGTCACCCGCCGATCTCTTTTGTCGCTTCTACAGAAAGCGATGGGAAGAGGCATACGGCCCGACAATGCCGTCGTATCTCAGGGGGCGGAAGCATTGGGAGATCTCTCTTCGTCCTCATGATCATCACCACCATCGTCAGCCTCCTCCTCCGCTTCTTACATCCTCCCCACCACCAGTATCCAACTCTCCTCCTCCTCCGCCTCCTCCTCTCCTCCGCCTCATCCTCCACCTCCTATCCCTCCTCCCCTCCTCCTCCTCCTCCTTCTCTTTCTCTTTCTCTTTCTCTTTATATGCTTACGTATTGATAGTAGTAGCATCACCATTGTTCTTAGTATTCGTAATATGGTTAGCATTATTATTGCTATTATGGTTGGTATGTTGCTTGTTATTTGTATAAGTGTTATAATATTGCTTTAGTATTAGTCTGCATAGTCTTAGTGCTATCATTCGTATTATTAGTATGGTTATGATTCGTAATAATTTTATTCGTATGTTTCTGAGTTCTCGTATCACTATTATGTGTGGTAGTAGTCGTAGTAGTATTGTTCTTATTGTTCGTAATAGTATGTGTTCTATGTTTCTTATGATATGCAGTACTCCTCTCCCTAGTAGTCTTCTTAGTCGTATTTCTATTATTATAAGCATTCCTATGTGTAGTATTACGCTTCTTCTTTCTTAGTCTGTATTATTATTCCTCCCCATCATCCCTCGTTCTCCTCCGTCCAGCCCGTCCCTCCTCCCTCCTGCCTCATTCCTCCTGTCTCTTCTCTCCTCGTCGTGGTCGTCGTCTCCCCCTCACCCCCTGCTCATCCTCAGTACTACCCGTCCCCGCCCCTTGGCCCTCGCGCGAGCCGGCGCCGACGCCGCCGCCAGGGCATCAGCATGAGACCCTCCGACCGCCTGAAGCTGGCAGGGCCGCCCAGTCGTGCCACCGGGTGGGGGGAGGGAGCGTGCATCCCTCCCCTGCCCCCCCTCCTTCCCTCCCTCCCTCCTCCCCTCCCTCCCTCCCTCTCCTCCGCCTCCTCCTCGTCCTCCTCCTCCTCCTCCTGCTCCTCCTCCCCCTCCTCCTTTTCCTCCTCCTCTTCCTCCTCCCTCACCTCCTCCTCCCTCACCTCCTCCTCCCTCACCTCCTCCTCCTCCTCCTCGTCCTCCTCCTCGTCCTCCTCCTCGTTCCTCCTCCTCCTCCTCCTCCTCCTCATCATCCTCCTCCTCCTCCTTCCTGTCGTCGTCGTCTTCGTCGTCGTTCTTCGTTCTTCGTTCTTCGTTTGTCGTTCGTCGTCGTCGTCCTCTTCCTCCCCCATCCTCCTCCTCCGCCTCCTCCTGCTCCTTCTCCACCCCCCCCTCGTCCTCCGCCCTCCTCCTCTCCCCCCTCGCCACCCTCCCTCCCGCTCTCCCTCCCTCCCGAGCCCTTCCCCCGCGCCCCACCCCTGCTGTGATTCGTTTCCAGGGCGCTGGCCGACCGCTCCCTGAGGGCATGCCTCCGCCCCACGGGTAGGGGGGAGACCAAGGGCGCCCTCGAGGGCGCGAAGTTATTCGCGCTTCGCGCTTCGGCTCCGATTCCTCCTCATCCTCCTCTTCTCCCCTGGGAGGCGGCGCGAGAGCGCGAAGTTGTTCGCACTTCGCGCAGCGCGAAGCGCGAAGTTGGGAGCCCTTGGAGACGCCCACCACCGCCGAGCCTCCGCGCGCCGAGCTGGGGCCCGTATCGTGCTGGGTACCGCCACGTCGCTGAAACAAGGAGCAGTCTGGGCCAGAAAGGGGCTCGGTATGCCTTGGGCCCTTCCATGGCTTTTCCTCTGGCCTTCCTCGTGCACGCAGGCGCTCGTGGGGCCGAAAAGGGGCTTCGTTGCTTGCGTATCGTTCCTTCTTTCAGCAGCCCGACTGTAGCGGTCGGGTCCGGGCAGGTCCGGGATGCCTTGGCTGCCCATGGAGGTCTTTCGGCAGGATCGACACGCACCAGCAGCATTTCCTGCCTGCTCATTTCGAGCCGGATTCGTTTTGCGCTTATTGCTCACTTTGAACCGGATTCGTTTTGCGTTCTCGATCTGCGCTCTGGCTGGCGCGATCTGTGGAGTGCAGTCCACGTGGTCTTTCGGTCTCCGAGGTCTTTTTGTTAGGGGACCAAATGCGAACCCTACCCCCACCCTCCCAATCAGAAACCAAGGAGGGTAGGGGTAGGGTTCGCATGTGGCCCCCTATCGGTACGAGCGAGGCCTTTCGGTACGATCGACACGGGTACCGAACCCTAAGGTCCTGGCGCCTCAGCTTTCTCGGGCCAGGCGTCTTCGCCTTCTGTCGGGCCCTCGGGCCCTCACAGACCGAGCCAGCTCGACAAAGGACGCAGCAAGGGTGGGGTCCGGGGGCTCCGGGCGTGAGTTTTTGCGATGACGCAATTTTTTTTTGCAACGTCGGATATCTCACGGCAGGAAGGGGCACGAAGACCAGCAGCATGTCCTGCTCATTTTGGACCGGATTCGTCTGCTCTCTTAGGGGTGGACCTAAACGGTGTTTTTGGCGATTTCGTGGGCCGTTTTCGTTCCGATTTCGTTCTGAAGCAAAGGCGGATTCGAGACAAAAGCGAGGGAAATCGAGAACAAAACGAAAACGAAAAACACCGTTTAGGTTCAGCCCTGATGTAATCTACGTGGTGCAGTCTGCGTGGTGCAAGCTGCGCGCGCATCCGGAAGCGCCAGCTGGCGCACGGCTTGGGCGTCGCGTCAGGGGGGGGGGGGAAGGGGGGGGGGCAGCGAGGGCTGCCGAAAAGGGGCCCGTCAGGGCCCCTGAAGGGGCCCGTTATGGTCCAAAAAGGGCACTTTTCTTCCCGACGTGCCCCCCGTTGCACCGCCTGACGTGCCGCTAGGGCGGGCCTGTTTTGAGATAATCATTTCTGTTTGGAGAGCGTTGGCCCGATTTCTCGTCCTCCCTAGGGGGAAGACGAGGAGGATGAGGAGGAGGACGAGGAGGAGGAGGAGGAGGAGGAGGAAGAGACGGGAGGACGAGGAGGAGGAGGAAAAGGAAAAGGAGAAGGAGACGGTAAGGGGAGGCGGAGGAGGACCAGTGTAAACCCACGAATCATCAACGATGTTGCGGAATACACCCTCCCTCCAAGCTCCCTCTGTGTAGGCCCCTACAATGGTTAATTTCCACAGAGGGAACTGCCTCGTTGGAAGACAACCGTTTGAAGACCCTGAAGCATGCCAAACCATTGTTCTCGGGATTCCAACGCCACGGATCAACCTGATTGTTGCGTCTTGACGATCCGGAATCGTGCCAGAACGCCGTTCTTGGGATTTCAACGCCGCGAATCAACGCAATTGTCCACATTTCGAAAAGGAACCGCCCTCAATCCGTGAGACTCTTGCATAATGTTTAAAATGAATGTGCGTGCCGTTGAGGCGAGAGCTACATTTTGAAAACGACCCGCCATCCATCTGCGAAACTGCTGCAATTGTTTAAGACCGATGTGCGCGGCGCTAAAGCGAGAGCCACATTTTGAAAAGGAACCGCCTTCAATGCGTGAAGCTCTTGCAACATGTTTAAAACGAATGTGCGCGGCGCTGTGAAATTTACATGTTTGTTAACGGGCTTTCTTAGAGAGCTCTAGGTGCAGGCCGTGTGTAGCGCTCGGGGCCTAGTGGCCCTGAGCGCTTGAACCTCCCCCCCCTCGGGCCTGAGAGACTGGAGGGGGTGGGGCAGCATGCATAGCAGGTGCAGAATAGATGTCCATAACGTATTGGCTCTAGTTTCAACGAGCAGCAGCCCTCTCGCGCCTCCCTCTGAGCGCGCGCGGGATTGCAGCCACGACGCGCCTTTCCTGGCTCGCCGCGTGCGTGCTCGGCACCGCCCTGGTGCAGGAGGACGCTTTCGAGGATCTGCTGGATTACGCTTCGGGCGGGTTCGGCGGCGTGCTGTCAGGCTCCCCGCTGCTGCTGGGAGACGGCGAGCCCGAGCCGGAGTCGCCCTTCGACGAGCCCAGCGTCGACGCCGAGGACGTCGACCCGTGCGAGGACGAGCCTGAGGGGCAGCCTATGCCCTTCCAGCGATGGAACAGGATCTACTACCGCCCGAGGGCGGACTCCAACCAGGGTCTCACGATGCTCCTGGTCAGCAAATTCAGCTCCACGCTGGGCGAGAAGAGATGGGTCTGCATCGACCCGACGGGCAGGCTCCAGGTCCTCGACCTCGGGCAGCCCGCGAAGGTGAAGTCGACAAAGTTCGCGGGCGTGAACCACGGCACCTTCCAGGGCCTCTCGGCGACGGAGAAGCAGAAGGCCGTCGAGGCGGCCGACCGTATCATCGCCACGGGGTCCGCATCGACGACAGGCAAGATCACCAGGGACCACCATCCTCGAGGTGGAGGCGCCGCGGGACGCAGGTCCCACCGCCGCCACGCGGTGTCGTGGCTACTGAAGCTGGGCTCCAACATCGCGGGCTACGCTTGGGCCCGCCGGAGCCTAGGCACGGCGGCGGGTTCGACTTTCGTGCTGTGGCGCGCAGTCGTCTACCTCAACGTGGTGGAGTGGGTGAAGTGGGGCTACTCGTCGCTGAAGGAGACCGTGGACACGGTGGAGTATTTCAGGGAGGAGATCGAGACGGTGTTCGAGATGCACGAGTCAGGAGCTTTCGAGCCTCTCTACTTCTCAGTGGGCGTGATGCTCGTGAGTGGCTTCCTCATGTCGTGCTGCAGGTCCTCTCGCCCCTCGCCTGCGCCATCGCCCACAACTTCCTCTGGTGCCTCAGCTCCCGCGCTTCCTGGTTGGAGCTGGCCCTCGTGGTCGGCCACACCGTCTCCCAGCCAGTCGGGATCATCGACTCCCAGGGACGAAGGCACTCAGGTGTCAGACGCCGAGGAGTCGGACTCGGTGGGAGGCGAAGTTCTGAGGCAGCTGGGTTTGGTGGCCGAGAGGCTCTCCGCTCTCGAGGAGAGGCAGGCGTCGCGCCCGACGGAGCCTCCTCAGCCAACTCCAGCGCCATCAGCACCTCAAGCCCCAGCGAAGCCTGGGATCGGCGCGGACAGCTACGACCAGATGATGGGGGCCCTCCTTCAGAGGCTGGACCGCCACAAGGAGATGGTGGAGCAGGACAGCACGGCCGTGACCGCCGGCGGGTCCGAGCAGCGGGTGGTCAGCACCACGTCCAACCCGGAGATCGACTCGCTGGTCAAGGGCCTGGACGACTCCTTCAAGGACATGCGCGAGGTCGCCAAGGAGAAGCTGCAGGCCTACTCCAGCGACGTGGCGTGGACGATCCCAGGGGGCATCAAGACGCGAGTGGCCCCGTCAATGGTGGCGCGCCTGTACCGCAGTGGGGCTTCAGCGGTGGCGAGCATCAGGGAGATGATTCGCACGAAGCAGCTGGACGGCAACCACATGGCGGAGGAGGCCCTCCTCATCAGCATGATGCTCGACCGATCCATGGTGGAGGCGCCAGCCGACTGGATCAACTACAAGACGACGGAGTTGGCGATGCGGCGCCTCCACGGCATCGAGAGGGCCTTCGAGAACGTCAAGCAGAGGTCGGACTGGAAGCCGCCCAACGGCTCCAAGGCGGGCTGGAAGTCTCGCGTCAACTACGCCCTGTTGGAGGAGCTCGACACGACCAAGTCGGATCAGGATGGCCTTCTCATCGACGGCGTGGAAAAGGAGCTTCGCGAACGCTTGGCTCACCGCGCCCTTCTCGCCGCCAAGTCCCTCGACAAGCTGCAGGACAAGAAGCACTCAACAAGCAAGGACGACTGACAGCTGGGCGGTGCTCACGATTCAGGCGCTTCGCGAAGCGCATTCTCCTGGCAGCCATCGTCTTGGAGGCTGCCCACATCTACCACAACTTGCACAGCGTTATTTTCCTAATTTCTCATCACGATGAGAGCGGAGGTCGAATTCTCATCAGAGGGTCGAGTGCGCGACCCCTTGGAGGTGCTGCCGCTCCTGCCAGCGCCGTCTCCCCTTTCGTCTCCTTCGGGGCGGTCGAGGTCTCGCTTCGCCCAGGAGCGAGCGATCAGGGTCAGGACGAACGCCGCTCTGAGGTCCTTAGCCGCGCTGACGACGAACTCATACCACGACCTGCGGGACTCCAGTTTCGGATCCTCCAAGGAGTGGGACACGAGCCACGAGCTGCCGCGCAGGATCTCCGAGAGGGTGCTGCAGTGCCACAGGGACGCGCACGATCAGAAGATGTACGACTCCGACGCCGAGTCCGCTTTCGAGCGGCTGGCCTTGCATGCCAAGCCTGGGACCTACGCGGGCTTCAGTGTATCAGACAAGGACGACGACGACGTGCCGCAACGAGGGAAGGTCATGCCCTTCGTGAGCGGCGAAGCGTCTCTGCCTCCAGCGGGGACGCAGCCATGCGACATAAGGATGATTTCACCAAAAGCGAGATATTACTTCGACCGATTTCACGAGAGGATGTGCCTGCCGCCCAGCCAGGTCGACGAGGCCGACATCGAGAAGACGAGAGCCTACATGGACCCCAGTTTGAGGAGCAGGTCAGCCCGCCTCCAGTTCGCGCTGAGACTATGGGAGTCAGGCATGCTCGGTTTCACGGACATCTGCAGGGCGGAGGTTTCGGTCTTCTTCGTCATGAAGAAAGTCAACGAGGCAGGCCAGTTCATTCTCCGGCCCGTCTGGGACCTGAGGCAGGTGAACAAGCGTTTTCAGAAGCCACCTCACCTTTCTGTTGGGTCTCCGATGGCGATGGCGGAGCTGGACCTGTCCGACGAGATCACAGATGGCAGAGTCTTGCAGTCAACGTGGGGAGACGTGCCAGATTACTTTCACAGATGCAAGAGCTGCAGCGAGCTGTGGCCGTACATGGTGTTCGGAGGCGTGACGATCCCCCAGCTTTTGAAGGAGCTCAAGCGCCAGGGCAAAGGGGTGCCGGCGGTCCCGAAGGGGGCCCGCTACCTGTGCCTGGTGGTGATGCTGATGGGCTTCAGCTGGTCACCAGCGATCTGTCATGGTGCTCTGGAGGACCTTCTGTGCGATCTACCTGGCTTCCCGCGGGGAGCTCAGCTGGTCCACGGGCGCGTCCCCCCCAGCTTCTCCGAGACGGCCTTCATCTACTGGGTGTTCATGGACGACTTCGCCTCGATGACCTTGCAGCAGGACGAGATGAGCGAGGTGGCGGGGGCAGTCCGCGAACACGCTGGGAAGAAGCTCAAGGAGGTGGGCCTCGACATGCACAAAGACGGAGTCGGGGCAGCGATGCCCCTCTCTCTGGGCGTGACGATCACTCAGCGCCCTCATCGCTTGATGGCAGCTCAGGAGAAGGTCAAGAATGTCATTGGTGCGACCAAGGCCCTTTTGGACCGAGGTCGAGCGACGCCAACCGAGCTATCAAGGATACTTGGGTCGTGGGTGTGGTTGGCGATGTGCTGTCGGGCCGCCTTCTGCATGCTGGACGCGTGCTACAAGTTCGCGACGAAGTGCGGCGACGACGATCAGGTTCACATCCTGTGGGAGAGCGTGACCAACGAGCTGTACATGCTTTACCACCTGGCCCCCCTGATGTACACCCACTTGGAGTCGAAGTGGAGCTCCAGTGTCTTTGCTACGGATGCGAGCGAGGAGGGCCTTGGGGTAGTCGAGACGGCGGCGAGCCGGGAAGAAGTCCGAGCCGAAGTCAACCGACAGTGGAGAGCCGACCATCTTCGGGACATGGCCAGGGACGAGGAGGAGGAGGAGCTGCTCAGTGGCGAGAACCTCGAGCGAGCCAGACGAGGCATCCCCCCCGTGGTGTCCGATGGCGAGGTCCCTCCGATGAAATTCATGGCCGACATTTTCTCGGGGTACGGCGGCTTCGGGCAGGCGATCCGCGAGGAATTGCAGTGCCAGACCCTGTTCGTGGACAACGCACGGGAGGCGCGCCACGACCTGCTGGACTCGTCCTTCGTCGAGCTCGTCTGTCGCGCCGTTCTTCGGCCCCTCTTCTTCATGGTCCACTTGGCCCCTCCATGCTCCGCGTTCTCGCGGGCACGTCGACCCCCTTTGCGAGCTCCAGGCCGTTGGATTCGTGGTCTCCCAGGTCTTTCCCCTCAGCAGGTGCAGAGAGTACGGGAAGGCAACGCTCTGGCCCAGGCAGCGATCTCGATTTGCTACGCGTGCCTGGCATCGGGGACGGGCTTTTCACTGGAGAACCCCAGGACCTCGATGATCTGGGATCTCCCCGACATGGCGAAGTTGCTGACGATGGATGGAGTTCGCGCAGTGGAGATGGTGCACTGTGCTTTCGGAGCCCGATGGAAGAAGCCAACTCGGATAGTGACCAACGTGCAGGCGCTGGAGGAGCTCGAATGCAAGTGCTCTCAGGATCACGATCATCAGGAGCTGCGGGGACGCGACTCTCAAGGGCGACTCTGGACGCGCCTGGCAGCAGCCTACCCGCCACGCCTGTGCAAGGCCTATGCCTCGTGTGTGGCCAAGGCCGTGTCCAACAACGAGCTGAAGCTGCACGACTGGCGCATGCGAGAACTCCGAGGCGCATCGCCGAAGCCAGTCGCAGTCATGAGTCACTGGGCCAAAGTATCCCGATGGCATCTAGCGTGGAAAGGGGTATGGGCTTATCACGATCACATAAATGTGCAGGAAATGAGGACGGTCGCGTCGGTATCTCGTCACCTGTGTCGCTCGTCAAAGAACTGGTTCAGCCGAGTCTTGGTCCTGTGCGACTCTATGGTGACGGTGGGCGCAGTCAGAAAGATGCGGAGCTCTTCGCGACCTTTGATGACGCAGCTGAAGAAGATCGGTGCGATCACGCTGGCCACCGGTATCCGATTGACGCTGAGGTGGATACCCACAGACATGAACCCGGCCGACGGCCCGTCGAGAGGCGAGGAGATAGGCAGCGCCGAGATCACCAAGACCAAGTCCGAGCAGAAGAAGAGCGCGATGGACAGCGACTTCGAGTTCGAGAGGCTCTTCGGGGACATGCTGGAGATCAGGGGCATGCACGACGACTACGACCTGGCCTGGCATTTATGACGACGATCCTGATTCTAGCCTCTGCTCCGGAGATCACTGCCACGGCAACTGCAGACACGGAGCCGACAGACCAGGACGAGAGCTTCCAGGCTGACGGCGACCACACTTTCGACAGTGAAGATGGGCAGGCTGCTGATGACGTGGGAATGTTCGCAGGAGCTCTCGAAGCAGCGGTGACAATCAAAAAGACGGCCAAAAAGAAAAGAAAGCAACGAGCTCACGTTCCTCAGAACAAGAAAGGCCCCCTCGCCTTCGAGAATGCTGCTCGGGAGCCCCCAGTGTCGAGAACCAGCCTGGGCTCGGGCACGCTGGAAGTACCTCTGCGGCTTCTCGTTCACGCAGTTCAGGACAACACTAACGTGTGCTACATCAAGGAGGTGGAGCCCTTCCTTGTGAGGGTGCGTCTCAAGAGGCTTCCTTTTGCCACGGCGGCCGAGCGTGACATCACCCTTGCGGCGGAGTTAGACCACATGTGCTTCGTGGAGAGGGCTTCGGTGTCAAGAGGAGTTCGACTGTACCATGGGCTGGTCCACCTGTTTCCAGAGTGGAAGTCTGAGCTGCCGATCTCCTTGCGTGCTTTGCATAGCTGGGAGAAACTCCAGGAGTCCTGGGAAGGTGGCCCAGCCTCTGCCGAAGCAATCTATTTCATATCATCCGAGGCGATCAAATCAGGCCACGTAGACGAGGGGATAGCATTTCTTGTAGCGTACGATTGTTATCTTCGAGAACAGGATTGGCTGCAGCTGAAGGGTGAAGACGTTCATGTTAGTGGAAAAACGTATTTTAATGATCTGCCAAGTGACGACACTCAGCATGCAGCTGGTGGGATCAAAGTGGCGCTACTTCTTGGACGGAGACACAGAGGTGAGAGCGTCAAGACAGGTCAAGAGCAAGGAGTGGCGATTGACAGCGGTCTTCTCTCACACATCCTGGCGGAGCGTGTCAAGCAGATCAAACCGACCGACAAGGTCTTCAATACCACAGCTGCCAAAGCAACTTCAGTCTGGAGAGGCATCCAATCCAAGTTCGGACTTGAGTGGATCGGACCGATGCATACGTTGAGACACAGCGGACCGAGCTACGATATCTTGCACAAGAGACGCTCAATTCAAGAAGTTCAGAGACGCGGACGGTGGACACAAGCCAAGTCGATGGCCAGGTATGCGAAGCCACATTCTCTTATCGTTCATGACGCACGGTTACCTGCGAAGATTAAGGACGCGGGCCGCAGGGCCCTTCATGATCTGAGCTCGACGCTGAAGAGCATCCCCACTCAGAGCCCATGGCGATCTGCAGCATCGCGGGGCTTGACGTACATCGCAGGATCTGACGCCGGCCAGGCCATGGAGCCCGTGGACCCGGCAGCCTGAGACGCGGCGGCGTGCCAAGCACTGTGGCCTCCCGCCTTGAGCCAAATTGTCTCCTCCCCCTTCTCCTCACTCCTTATATATCAGTGCTGACGCACCCACCCCCCCAGTCCCAGTCTTTAAGTGAGAACCCGAGGTTGCGGGGTGAGGGGTGTTTTTTCTTGGGCCTGTGCCTCTCGTGGCTGCTTAGGCCCAGGCTCTCGCCGACAGCGGCGAGCGAAACCTTCCGATCGGTGTGCTGCGCGAGCCGAGGGTAGTGTGAAAAAGGATCCCGTCTGGCCATCTTGGAGCTCGTTCTCAGAATACATGTTTGTTAACGGGTTTCTTAGAGAGCTCTAGGTGCAGGCCGTGTGTAGCGTTCGGGGCCTAGTGGCCCTGAGCGCTTGAACCTCCCCCCCTCGGGCCTGAGAGACTGGAGGGGGTGGGGCAGCATGCATAGCAGGTGCAGAATAGATGTCCATAACGTATTGGCTCTAGTTTCCCATCCCAACCCTCCCTTTTTTGAGGGGGTGTTTTTTCTTGGGCCTGTGCCTCTCGTGGCTGCTTGGGCCCAGGCTCTCGCCGACAGCGGCGAGCGAAACCTTCCGATCGGTGTGCTGCGCGAGCCGAGGGTAGTGTGAAAAAGGATCCCGTCTGGCCATCTTGGAGCTCGTTCTCAGAAGTTGTATTTGTTTACCGGCGATGTACGCGGCGCTAAGGCGAGAGCCACTTTTTGAAAACCACCCGCCCTCCATCTGTGAAATGGTTGTTGATGTTTACGCTTCAAGGACATAAACGATGAGGAAGTCCCTGCAAAACGCACGGCCCGTCTTAAAAACTGGCCTCAGGGCGCGACAGGGCGAAGTTACTCACAAGGAAAAGGAATGGAGGCAGAGGAGGCAGAGGGAGAAGGGGGGAAGCGGAGGGAGGAGGGAGGAGGAGACGTAGTAGGAGGAGGAGAAGGAGGAAAAGGAGGAGGAGGACGAGGAGGGGGAGGATGAGGAAGGAGGCAGGAGGAGGAGGAGGAGGAGGAGGAGGAGGAGGAGGAGGAGGAGGAAGAGAGGAGGAGAGGAGGAGGAGGAGGAGGAGGAGGAGAGGAGGAAGAGGAGGGAGGAGGGAGGAGGGACGAGGAGGAGGAGGCGGCCGAGGAGCAGGAGGCGGCCGAGGAGCAGGAGCCAGGAGCCAGGAGGGCGAGTCGGCAGGAGCGGGAGCTCGGCCGGCCCCGCCTCCACCCCTCTGGCCGCCGCCGGCTCGCGCCGAGGCAGGGCTCGTCTCGATTCCTTCGATTCGACTTCGATTCGCCTCGTCTTCGATTCGACTCGACTTCGATTCGACTTCGACTTCGAGTTCCGCTTTGGGCTCCGATTTCTCGACGGAGCCCTACCTTCGGGGGTGGCAAAGAGGGGGGGGATGACTAGGGGGGATGGGATATCATGGCGGGGGCCATGATACTTCCCCAGATTTCATGGCGCCCCTTCTTGTTTCATTACGTCCCTGGCCCCCCGCTGGGCCGCGCACATGCCGCTGGCTATGATTTGCACCCCCCCCTCTTGGACACCCCCCTTTTGGCCGCTCCCGATACCTGCTCGCCTGCCGATTTCCGCCGGTTCGGCTTCTCCTGATTCGTCCGCCGATCTCATCTCCGCTGATCCGATGCATGCCGGTCGCCGGTCCGACTGATCGAATCGATTCTGGGTTTGCCCGCCGAGGCGGAGCAGGCCGCGACGCTGAGCAAGCGGGCCAGGCAGGCCGAGACGAGGTACTACGCCAGCGTCGAGGAGGCGAACAAGGCCCCAAAGATTGGCGCCCTCCCTCCATTCCCAGCCTTCTTTGCGCCTCCTCCCGCCTCCATCCTGGCTCCTTCCTGCGTCTCCTGACGATGCCGGGGCCTTCCCCTCAATCTCGTGGTGGGGATTGTCAGCCACCGCGTTTCAGAAGGGTAAGCTTACGTCGGGCCTCTCCCTCTACAGGGGGAACATTCAAAAATAGTTTAAAAAATAGTCTGGGGACTATTTTTGGACTATTGTTGAGCATTTGGGGGGCATTTTTTTTTTAGTATTTTTATTTTTCGCCCAAAACCGCCCTGTAGGTGGACACGCCCGATTTAAGGGTAAGCGGTGCTTGGCGCTTGGTCCCCTCTCCCATGGACGTTGGGGCCCACACGCCAATCGACTTCGAGCAAGCTCCTCGTGCACCTCCTCCACCTGCTCCTGCACCTCCTCCACCTCTCTCCCTCCTCCCCTTCATCATCATCATCATCATCATCATCATCATCATCATCATCATCATCATCATCATCATCATCATCATCATCAGCATCAGCATCAGCATCAGCATCAGCATCATCAGCATCATCATCATCAGCATCATATCATCATCACCAACATCAGCATCATCAGCAGCAGCATCATCATCATCATCGTCATCACCATCGTCATCAACATCCGCGAGGTGCAAGGTCGCGCATCGCAAACTGACGCTCGGGTGTAGCCCGATCCTAGGGGCAGCAGCTGGACGGGATTTCATGCTCGCCCCCCATGGGTTCTGATCTGATCTGATCGTCATCACCATCAGCATGATCATCATCGTCATCACCATCGTCATCGTCATCACCATCATCATCATCGTCATCAATATCACTATCATCATTATCGTCATCCTCATCATCATCATCACCGTCCCCGTCATCATCATAATCACCATCATCATCAGCAGCATCATCATCAGCAGCACCATCATCGTCATCATAATCGTCGTCAGCAGCAACATCAGCATCAGCATCAGCATCAGCATCAGCACCATCATCATTAGTTATTATCATCATCATTCTCATCATCCTCATCATCATCGTCATCCTAATCCTCATCCTCATCCTCATCCTTCGCCTTCCTTCCTCCTCCTTCATCCTTCCACCTCTACTTCATCCTTCCTGCTCCATTCCCCCTTGCCACCCGCGTTCGCGCGGGAGCGCGCGCGTTGTAAGGGGCGGACGGGGGGGGTGAGAGGCGGGGGGAAGTGAGGGGGGTGGAGAGAGGGGGATGGGATATGGCAGGGTAAGGGGTCAGAGGGGGGGATGGGGGAGATGAGCGGGTGGGGTGAGGGGGGAGATGGGGAG